TTAGAATTTTGTTCCACATTTTTTTCCATCTCTGTCCGGGACCCTGTATTTTGATCCCTGTCAGAGTAGTCAGTGGTAGCCAGGCACCATCTAGTTGTGCTGGACTCAGTCTGGTGAGGCTGGTTGACCAATTCTTTTTGGTACAGTGACTGTGTATTCCTTCCATCTTCTTTTCATGCTTCCTCCTTCATTCAATTTTTTGTCCACAGAATCCTTCAATATTGCAACTTGAAGCTTGAATATTTTCTTCAGTTCATTTCAGCTTGAGAAATGCTGAGTGGTTCTTCCATTTTGTTCTTCTAACTCCAGGTCTTTGCACATTTCATTATAATACTTTACTTTGTCTTCTCGAACAGAAATTTTCTGTCCAGTTCCTTTACTTCGTCATTTCTAACATTGTCTTTAGCTACTCTGTGTTCAAGAGCAAGTTTCAGAGTACCTTCTGACATCCATTTTTGCCTTTTCTTTCTTTCCTGACTTTTTAATGACCTTTTGCTTTGTTCATGTATGATGTCCTTCCACAACTCATCTGGTCTTCAGTCATTAGTGTTCAGTGCATCAGATCTATTCTTGAGATGGTTTCTAAATTCAGTGGAATATACTCAAGGTTGTACTCCGGCTCTCATGGACTTGACTGAATTTTCTTCACCTTCAACCTGTACTTGCATACGGTCAATTGACGGTCTGTTCCACAGTTGCCCTCTGGCCTTTTTCTGACTGATGACATTGAGCTTCTCCATCGTCTCTTCCCACAGATGTAGTCGATTTGCTTCTTGTGTATTCCATCTCGTGAGGTCCACGTGTAGAGTCACTGTTTATGTAGTTGAAAAAAGATATTTCCAATAAATGGTCATTGGTCTTGCAAAACTCTATCATGCAATCTCCTGCATCATTTCTATTACCAAGGCCGTATTTTCCAACTACTGATCTTTCTTTGTTTCCAACTTTTGTGTTCCAATCACCAGTAATTAACGATGCATCTTGATTGCATGTTTGATCAATTTCAGACTGCAGAAGTTGGTAAAAATCTTCAATTTCTTCATCTTTTGCATTAGTGGTTGGTACATAAACTTGAATAATAATTGTATTAACTGGTCTTCCTTGTAGGCATATGGATATGTACTTCAGGATAGATCTTGAAATGTTCTTTTTGACAATGAAAGTGATGCCGTTCCTCTCCAATTTGTCATTCTCAGCATAGTAGACCATATGAACGTTCAGTTCAAAATGGCCAATACCAGTCCATTTCAGTTCACTAATGCCTAGAATATTGATCTTCAAGCATTCTATTCCATTTTTGACAACTTTCAATTTTCTTAGATTCATACTTCTTACATTCCAGCTGTTTGCAGCTGTTTCTTCTCATTTTGAGTCACGCCACCTCAGCAAATGAACATCCCGAAAGCTTTACTTTATCCACGTCACTAAGGTTGACTCTACTTTGAGGAGACAGCTCTTCTCCAGTCTTATTTTGAGTGACTTCCAACCTGAGGAGTTCATCTTCCAGCACCATATCAGACAATGTTCCACTGCTATCCATAAAGTTTTCACTGACCAGTTTTTTTAGAAGGATATTGCCAGGTTGTTCTTCCTAATCTGTCTTAAGAAGCTCTACTGAAACCTGTCCACCATGGGTGACCCTGCTGGTATTTGAAATACTCGTGGCATAGCTTCCAGGATCACGCAACACAGAAGCCACCACAGCATGACAAACTGACAGATAGGAGGATAGCATGTGGATCTCTGTATAAATTAGTGAGACATATACGTATCATGTTATATACGTCTCATCACTATATATATAATCACTATATATATATATTCATTCCCTGGGTGGTACAAATGGTTAATGCCCTTGTTACTAACCAAAAGGTTGTAAGTTTGTAAGTTTGAGTGTACCCAGAGGCACTTTGGAAGAAAGGCCTGATGTTCTATTTCCAAAAAATCAGCCATTGAAAACCCTATGTATGTTGCCTGGCTACCACCAACGACCACCCTGACAGGAAACACAACAGAGAGTCCCTGATGGAGCAGGAGAAAAGTGGGGTGCAGAACTCAAATTCCAGTAAAAAGACCAGACTTGATGGTCTGAGACTGGAGGAACCCCAGAAAGCATGGCCCCCAGACTCTCTGTCAACCCAGAACTAAAACCATTCCCAAGGCCAACTCTTCAGACAAAAATTAGACTGGACTATGGGACATAAAATGATACTTAGCTCAAGTAGACACATGAGACTAAATGGTTACCTTGATATTTACCCCTATTTTTCTAAGTTTATACCAGTGTTTTCTTTCTTTATATCACCTTGACTTCTGCTCCATATGAAAAATCTATGTCTACATTTTTTAAGTCCCTCTTTTTTGTTTCAATGTTGTCATCTTTTACATATTGACATCTGTTTCCCTATTTTCAGTGTTTTAGCTTTTATTTACTTTCGTGACTTCCCTATCTGGGTTGATATCTGGTTGCTCTGTCCTGTGTTCTAGTCTTGGGTTGTTATCTGATGTTACTGATTTTCTAACCAGAGGACTCCCTTTAGTATTTCTTGTAATTTTGGTTTGGTTTTTGCAAATTCCCTAAACTTGTGTTTATCTGGAAATGCCCTAATTTCGCCATCACATTTGAGAGACAGTTTTGCTGGATATATAATTCTTGGCTGGCAGTTTTTTTCCTCCAAGGCTTTATATATGTCATCCCATTGCTTTCTTGCCTGAATGGTTTCTGCTGAGTAGTCCGAGCTTATTCTTATTGACTCTCCTTTGTAGATGACTTTTCATTTATCCCTAGCTGCTCTTAAAATTTTCTCTTTATCTTTGGTTTCGGCAAGATTGATTATAATATGTCTTGGTGACTTTCTTTTGGGATCTACACGAGACTAAATGGGCAGCTCCTGTTCGGAGGTGAGATGAGAAGGCAGAGAGGGTCAGCAGCTGGTTGAATGGACACTGGAAATCAGGGGTGGAAAGGAGGAGTGTGCCGTCACAGTATAGGGACAGCAATTAGAGTCACATAACAATGTATGTATAAATTTTTGTATGAGAGACTAACTTGAGTTGCAAACATTCACTTAAAGTACAACAATAAAATTTAAAATAAAGAAAACCCTGTGTAGCACAGTTCTGGTTTGTACACATGGGTTCACCATAAGTCAGAGATGACTCAACGGCAATTAGTATGTATATATACCAATTATTATTGTTACACATATAAATTATATATAAATCTTTATATATAAATATATGTTATTGTACATATTAATAACCTTGCATATTGTAGGTATTCAATAAATTGTAGTTAGAATTATTCATTACAACTTCAGTATATTAACAGATTCAGTAGAGCACTTTAGGAATCACAGAAATCAACTATTAATGGGGTTCCTACTATATGCAAGCATGGTGCTGGGTATTGAGAGAACAAAAATGAGTAAGATATATGGTCTCTCTTCTCAAGGAATTTACAGCCTAGTAGGAGACAGGCTAGAAGCCTGTAACAGTTAAGACTGTGTGTCAACTTGGCTGAGCCATGATTCTCAGTGTTTATACGTGACCATCCCTATGATGGGATCTGCTGTGAGTAGCCAACCAGCTGAAAGCGAGTTTCCTTGGGCGTGTGGCCTGCATCTGAATATAAGTGGATGTTCTCGTTTTTGCCTGCTCTGGATCCTGCAGCTGTCTCCTGTTCGTCCAACCTCCCGTTCTTGGGACTTGAGCTAATAGCTTACCTGCCGATCTTGGGATTCATCCATCTTCACAGCCTATGAGCAAGAGTCCTGCTCTCCAACCTGCTGATCTTGGATTCGCCAGCCCCTGTGGCTATGTGAATTAGGAGAAGCCTCTATCCTGATTTGGGACACTCCAATGCCTACAACTGCGTAAGCCATTTCCTTGATATAAATCTATATATATATATATACATATATATATATACACACACACACACACTTTACTGGTTTTGCTTCTCTAGAGAACCTAGCTTAAGACAAAGCCTATAAAAAAAGTAGGTAGAATATTTAGAATGCAGTTATTATTCTAGTTTTTCAGACTAAACTGACTCAGAACTAAGGAAAAAGGGAGAGTAGTCTAGGGAAATGGCCCTTGTGCCCAGTCTTACTATCACCCATATAAGCTGCATTTGCTCTATGGACTTGCCATGTATTACCAAGCTTGGTTTTCAGCTTTATATACACAGGTGAGAGAGTTAGAATAATACTGAATCAATCCTAAAAGACTGTTTATAAATGCTTATCATATTAACAATGCTATTTCCTATTGCCCTTTCATGCTATAATTTCTCCCATAGGTAGAGCTTTCACTTTTTATTTTAGAAAACATACTTTGGATGTTATATCACCAGTTGGTACGAACAGCTCTCAGGTGGCAGTTGCTAGCTAATGTCCCAAGCAAAGCAGTATAGCAGTGGTTCCCAAACTCAGCTGCGTATTAGAATCACCCAAAGATCTTCTAAAAACTCCAAGTCCCAGGCTACATCCCAGACCAAATAAATCACAATCTCTGGAGGTGGGGCACAGGCATCAGTATTTTTTGAAACCGACAAATTTGGAGACTACTACAATATTGTTTAACGGTTAAGACCACTGGCTCTGGAATCAAACTGCCTGGGACCAAATCCTGGCTCCAAACTCTGATATTGGGTAAGTTTACTTAAGCTCTCTGTACCTCAGTTTTCTCATCTATAAAATGGGTTCTTACCTCAAAAGTTTGCTGTGTGAAAGTTAAACAAGATAATACATGTAAAGTACTTTACATAGTGCCTGAAACCATAACAGATGCACAACACATAGGAGCTGCTATTAATTTTTTTAAATTCCAGAATTAAGATACTGTTTATACAGAATAAAAATCATTTAAGCAATTGTTAAGGAAGTGTTTGGTCCCAACTACGAAAACTAATATTAGTGAAATATAAACCTGATTCTGAACATGTACTCACATTATATTCTCATTGATTTCTTTGTTTATATATTTATATCTTTCACTCATTCCTAAAATAATTTGAGGTTGCTTACAGAATACATATACTACAATATAATATATCCGTTTTAAGACAAAAAATTCAAGGAAGGAGGTAGAAAAATAGTGGAGGGAAAGGGAGACGAAAGATAAGCTGGAAGAAGTCCAGTACAGTTGTATCTGAGCATTCCAGCATCGAAAGCAAAAAAAAAAAAAAACACAAATTTTTCCTAGTATTGAATCTGAAACAAATTTCTCTTGTGAGGTCTCACTGGTGTTATAAAAAGGTATAAAAGAAATTATAAGCCTTAATAATGGAAAAATAAACAGAACCTTATTTCCTTTCTTTTTCCCCTTCTTTAACCCTTACTCTTAATATCTATGTCTTGCAACCAAGTTAAATTAAGAAAAATAAGAAAATTTCCAGTAAGGCACCATAAATGACGGAGTGTTACTATCCCCTGGAAGAGGTAACTTTCTGTGAAAGTTCTTACAAGGCTGCTCATCTCATCAGGTAATTTCTCAACTATTTTCCCAACAAAGAACTCATCGAGGAATACACATTAGACTGAAACAACGTAAATAAATACTAGAATGATGTAATGAAAGAGCTCCTCCTATAATAATCAGTGTTTAAAAAATCCAACACACATTTAGTAATTATTCTTGGGGACATGACCTTATCACCAGAACTGTTGAGTGTTGCTCTAAACAAGCTTTAAAAGTCGTTTTAAAAAGCAAAACAGAAACACAATGTACACTAAAGAATATAGTGATTGTGTTGTGAAGATAAAAGTACACCTACAAGATGAGCTAAATTAAAAATTAAAAAAAAAAAAAAGAGCCCTGTTACATTGCTTGAACGGGTCCTTATGGCCTGAGGTATAATTTCCAGTGACAGCATCAAACACAGGTTCAGAGGGGCCCTATCTTGCCCCTAATAAAATAATGCAATCTAGGCAATGAACAAGACTGATTGCTAAAACCATTAGGTGAAAGGGTGATGGGGAATTTTAAAACGGAGGGATTGGGCAGATCTCACCTGAACCCACTCAACAATCTTAGAATCTCTATAAGCGGGACGTCAGACATCATGTGCCTCAAAGAATGATGTAATAGGAAATACATGGCATCACCTATGGAAAGTTCTTGCTTAAAATAATTTATCCTGGCATCTAGCAAGCTTCTGGATCTATAACTATGGTTTACAAGAAATGGGAGAGCTAGAGGAACAAGTTAGAGGCATCACAAAGAAGTAATGAGCCAAATTCAGAGTATGGGACATTTTACCCAATGTTTCTAATAAATGACATTTTTAAAAGGGAAAGAGGAAAAGGGGTGGCAATAAGGAATAAAAGAGACTAAAGAGACAGAACTCCCATGCAGTGTGTAGCCCTTTTTCGTGTCCTAATTCAAACAAACTAACTATAAAAAATACATTTTGAGACAATTGGTGAAATTTAAATATTTAGGGGGTATTGTGAGTTGCCATGGAGTAGGCTCCAACTCATGACAACCCCCTGCACAACAGAATCAAATGTTGCCCAGTCCAGCACCATCTTCATGATTGTTGTGGCCACTGTGTATTTTGAGTGCCTTACAACCCAGGAGGCTCATCTTCCAGCACTATATGTGTCAGAGTAGAACTGTGCTCCATATGGTTTTCAAGGCTGTGACCTTTTGGAAGCAGATCACCAGGCCTGTCTTCTGAGGTGCCTCTGGATGGGTTTGAAATGCCAAACTTTGGGCTAGTAGTGGAGCGCTTAACTGTTTGTGCCATACAGGGACTCTCAGATACGTGACAATCTGGGCAAGAAGGGGAAACAAGAGGCAGAGCATTTTAATATAGTTCTGTTGGGATCCACACTGCCAAATGCCTTTCTGTAGTCATAGTCGATAAAACAAAGGTAAACATCTTTCTGGTGTTGTAGTTGTTGTTGTTAGGTGCTGTTGAGTTGGTTCTGACTCATAGCAGTCCTATGTACAACAGAACGAAACACTGCCTGTTCCTGCACTATCCTCACCATCATTGTTATGCTTAAGCCCATTGTTGCAGCCACTGTGTCAATCCATCTTGTTGAAGGTCTTCCTCTTTTTCGCTGACCCTGTACTTTACCAAGCATGATGTCCTTCTCCAGGGACTGATCCCTCCTGATAACATGTCCAAAGTATGAGAGACATAATCTCACCATCCTTGCTTCTGAGGAGCATTCTGGTTGTATTTCTTCCAAGATAGATTTGTTTGTGCTTTTCACAGTCCTGGTATATTCAATATTCTTCTCCAACACCACAATTCAAAGGCGTCAATTTTTCTTCAGTCTTCCTTATTCATCATCTAGCTTTCACATGCATATGAAGTGATTGAAAACACCATGGCTACGGTCAGGCGCACCTTAGTCTTCAAGGTGACATCTTTGTTTTTCTGGCGGACTCTGTTTATAGATATGTTACATTTATGTCTATATTTTTGTTATACTTGTAAACTCCTTGAGGAAAGACTGTATACTTTTATTTTGTACCCCTCATAGCACATAGTGTACATAGTTAAATAAATGTCTTATTTCCCTAACTGTAATAGGAATACTAACTACTATTTACTAAATACTACAATATTTATTAATAAGTGCCAAGCACTGCTCTAAGCACTTTATATTCATTATCTCACCTTCACCTCTCTGTGTCACTGCACAGCACCTAGCCCATGGCTTTTTCACGTAGAGAGAGGTAGAATAGTGTGGTGCCAAGGATAAGTTGGGTCTGGGATCTGACTGCCTGGGTTTAGATCTTAGCTCTGTTACTGTGTGTATAATCTTTGACAAGTCATTTAACATCTCTATGTCTCAGTTTCCTCATCTATGAAATGGGGACATGAATACTCCTTACTTCAAAGGATTATTTTAAAGATTAAACGAGATAATGTTATATGTTTAGAACACTCAGTGAACATAAGCTACTGTGAACTCAAAAACTTGTCCAGTGAATCTAGAAAAGTTTCAGGAATGTCATACGAATGACTTTCATGCTGAATTCATCGGTTCATTGCAAGCAGACAGGGACAAAACAGTTAAAGTTCCTCATCCTGCCCTTGGAGCTCTGATGGTGCAGTGGTTAAGAGCTCACGTTGCTAACCAAAAGGTCAGCAGTTCAAATCCACCAGCTGCTCCTTGTAAACTCTATGGGGCAGTTCCACTCTGTCTTATAGGATCACTGTGAGTTGGAATTGACTCGACAGCAATGAATTTGTATAAGTGCTTTATACAGTTTATCTTTCAGGTGGAAGGATAGACAATAAGCAAGTAAATAAGAAAACAAATCAGTGTGATGTGGCTGGTAAGGCAGAAAGAAGGTAGAGCGGTGAGTGAGGTAAGAGCCTTTCAAGGAAATTACAATTGAATTGTAACAGCACAAGTTGTTGTCGTTAGTTGCCAGTCGAGTCGATTCTGACTCATGGAGACCCCACGTGTGTCAGAGTAGAACTGTGCTCCATATGGTTTTCAAGGCTGTGTGACCTTTTGGAAGCAGATCACCAGGCCTGTCTTCTGAGGTGCCTCTGGATGGGTTTGAAATGCCAAACTTCGGGCTAGTAGTGGAGTGCTTAACTGTTTGTGCCATACAAGGATTCTCAGATATGTGACGATCTGGGGAAGAAGGGGAAATGAGAGGCAGAGCATTTTAAACAGAGGAAAGAGCAAGCACAAAGGCCTTGAAATGGAAACATGCCAGACATAGGTTGGTCAGAGTGGTTATAGAGAAGTGAGTAAGGGAGAGGGCAGCAGGATTTGTAGTGGGGCCAGATCACTATGTGCCCTGAGGGAGTTTTGCTTTTATTCTAAGAGCAATGGGAAGGAGCCACTGAAGGATTTTCAGCAAGATGATTAAAAGCCTCTCTCTCCAAGAGATAATCAGAACATTATGGTTGTATTAGTCAGTCCCCTTAAATGTTTGTATTTTATTCTGTAGCACACAAACCGTGCAGCTAGTATTGTCTTCTCCAGCTAACAAATGGGATGACCTGGTTTGTGCTGGAGTCATCTAATGGGGAAGGCTGCCATCTGCTGGAAGAAAGTGTGATTAAAAAGCTATTCCTCCCTGATGGTGATTGAGGCACTCATACACTGGGACTCATTGCATATAGAAATAAATCATTTTGAAACACAATGGGGGATGAAATATTAAAGTATAACAATTCTCCAACTTGCCCTCTCCTTTGCCTTCTAAACAGTCCGTGTTTGAGCTGCTCAGTCTCTAGTCCCTTGGTTGTACAGAATGGGGTACAACCCACCTGCAAAGGCAGGGAACACTTCTCAGTAGAACAATCTGGAACGACGGAGGGAGAGGGTAATAAAAAGGCAAGCTGGAGCTTGAGAGAAATAGGAACGGCATTTGGGGACAGTGACTGTCAGCATGAGAGGGACTTGGGGAGAAAAAAGCCTCAGGAACACTTTAGCAGGTTTTGCTCTGTGTTGGAAGGTTTAAGATACTTCAAAAAGGCCTACATTTTCAAGGCTTTTTGAAGCCAAATTTGTGCTTTTTATTTATTTATTTTTTAGGTGCACTATTGTTTTGAAGGCACTCTGGTGGCGCAGTGGTTAAGAGGGCAGCTGCTGACCAGAAGGTCGGCAGTTCAAATCTACCAGATGCGCTTGGAAACCCTATGGGGCAGTTCTACTCTGTCCTATTGGGTCTCTGTGAGTTAGAATCAACTCAATGGCAACAGGTTTTTTTCTTTTTTTTAACTGTTTTGAAGACTGGTCTTAAAGCAATCCAGTTCTATTTGAGTATAACCATGTAAATGAACATTAGGACGTTCTGATATGACATATAATAAGCTATATGATCTGTTGCCACTGTTTGTTCTTCCTTGCTCTGCTCCCAGGTGCAGCTCCATAGCCTGTGCTCCCCACTGCCTTAGCTCAGGGTCATTTGGACAAGAGAGGAGAGAATACAGGGGAGGAATTGGCTTGAGGTGGGAAGGCCGAGGCAGGTAGAGGGCAAGGTCTTCCATATGGTTAAAAACAAAACAAAACAGAATGAAAAAATCCTGGGACTCT